CCCAATGAGCAGTTCCATAGTCTGAAGGGCAGGGAAACAGCCCAATGAACATCACCGCAGAGGAGCCAATCAGCTAGATGTTGCTGGGGCCACTGTGAGCCAATCATCAGCCGGCAGCTGGAAGTTTGCTGGTAGCTGGATCATCAGCCGGCAGCTGGAAGTTTGCTGGGGCCCCTTTGGCTGTGGCTCTCAACACCAAGTCCTCCAATTTGCACCACCACTCCATAGTTCAATAAAATTATGGATCTGTCAATAGTTTGATCCAATGATGCTGGATCATTTATGAACTCTGAAGACTCTACCTCTGAAACACTGTTGCAATGAGGGACAAGCCTTCAACATTTGAGCCTCTAGGGGACATTTTCAGATCCAAATGATACAGAAACAAGCTAAAATTTTTAAAATAAAACACCAAGACAAAATATATAAGACCAGGAGACCACAGGCAAAAAAAAAATTAATTTTTTTCCTAAATAGGAAGTTGACAGTTTCTTGGAGGAGGTGGTGTTTGACTCAGGGCTTATGGATGATCAAGTCTTGCTCATTCTGGTGGAGAGAATTCAATTTTTGTTTACATACTTAAACAAATATATATTTTAAATAAATATATATTATCATAATTTAATTATTTGGAAACTGACCCTTCCATTTGTAGAGCCTGGTCACTGGTCACTTCCTGTTTCCCTCATCAAGTTGGGAGGGCCTTCAGCTACCAGATTGCACCTTTGATCCCTGTGTCTCTAATGCTAAGCTGAGAACTTGGCAGCATGGGTGATAGTCTTATTGAAAGGATAAATGAGTGAGTGAACAAATGAATGCACAAGTGGATACATTTTTCATGAACCATGGTAGTCCATGATCCAAAACACCCTTTTTTAATGGGCTTTTTCTGAAACTATGAGTTCACTTTATTTTCCAGGAAAGCAAGGAACCAGGGTAAAGACTATTTCAAGAGGCAGCATTTCTCACAGTTCTTTTCTGTTTGCTTCCAGGAGAGTGCAGCTGTCATGAAGGCTATGCCCCGGACCCTGTTCACAGACACCTCTGTGTGCGCAGTGACTGGGGACAGAGTGAAGGGTGAGTGGCACGGGACATTGGGAATAGGGCAGTGGTAGACCTGTCCCTACCTCCTCTGTTGTGTTACTGGGTTCCCAAAACCTCCCTAAGGGAGAATACTTTCTCTATTAGAGATGTCCTCCTGAAAACCCCAGTGGGAAGCAAATCCTACTTTCCCACTGAATCACATTTTAGAATTAAAGGTACATGATTGATGAATCTTCTAGAGCACAAAGGCTGACATTTAAATAACCCCTCTAAACAAGAAGTGATCAATGAGGGCTGGGGATGTGGCTCAAGCTTGCCTGGCATGTGTGCGGCCCAGGTTCAATCCTCAGCACCACATACAAACAAAGATGTTGTGTCCGCCGAAAACTAAAAAAAAAATAAATATTAAAATTCTTAAAAAAAAAGTGATCAACGAAAGCTTTCTTACATGGACTGAAGAGGAATTGGGTTTCCTCACATGCACTCAAATATGGGCAAGTGAGAGCTGGGGATATAGCTCAGTTGGTAGAGTGCTTGCCTTGGATACACAAGGCTCTGGGTTCGATCCCCAGCACAACACACTTACAAAAAAAAAATCAAATATGGGCAAATGAATTTTTACATAAGTGCCGAGTCCTGCAGTAAAATGGAGACACTCCTTAGTAACGTGTAGAGGCTTTGTCCAATAATTACCTCTGTGGAATTTGAACAGTTGTCCAGATATGAATTCTGCTTGCTACTGACTAATGTTATCCCCACTGTTTTTTCTTTCCCCTGGCTTCCACAGACCTTGGCCTTATACGACACTTGAGAGGGGCTATGATCTGGTGACAGGGGAGCAAGCCCCTGAAAAGATTCTCAGGTGAGTTGACAGTCTTAATTTGGGGTATTATAATGGTGGGGAAGACAGAAATGTCTCTTAAGAAGTATAGTCATGTATCCTTGGACTGTCGATCCTGGGCACCTCTGAGATGCCCTGAGTAAGGCAGAACTCTTGCTAACACTAATGTACCTTCATAGCCCAGGTCGCTATGGGAACCTAATTCCCATTTGTCTGGTATCTAGATTTATAGATTTCAGGTGCCTGAACTGGAGGAGATATTTCTGATTATCTATTCTAGTGTTTTAAAAAAATGTTCTATTAGCCATAGAGCCTCATTTGAAACAAAAATCTCATATAAAACTTTAATATTTAAGCAGATAAAGACATAGGGAAAATTAAGTGCAAGGACTGGGAATCACACATTGGTTTGAAATGAATCTGAATCCATGCTCTTGGCCTGTAGGCCAATCTGCTCCTGATGACTTGGCAGTCGTTTGTGAAACTCCTACTGGGTGTAGAGACTGTGGGGGATACCAGAGCCGAAACAGTCTCTGTCTTCAGAGTTGACTGTTTACCCAGGGAAAGAAAACTAGACATTCAAAACAATGCATGAGCGAACTGATACACTGAGTTAAGACATGACCATTCAAGTTTGTGCCTTCGGGAATATAAGGGTCCAAGTTGGGTGGAGGAAGGAGAAAATGCCCTAGAAGGGATATAGGAAGAGGGGGCCCCTGTTTTCTTTTTGCTCTCTGCTTCCCGGGGAGTTCCCAATGGAAACTCTTACATTACAGGTCTACTTTCAGCTTGGGCCAAGGCCTCTGGCTTCCTGTGAGCAAAAGCTTTGTGGTTCCACCCGTGGAGCTGTCCATCAATCCCCTGGCCAGTTGCAAGACAGATGTGCTCGTCACTGAAGACCCTGCAGATGTCAGGTAGGGAAGTCATCTCCAGGACTCTGTACCCAGGACTTCTTGGAGCCCTGGACGTTCCTCAGTTTCAGGATCACAGGGCCTCCTGTGTAGGAGTGACCTGTGACTGTGATGGAGTCAGCTGATGGTGGATGTGAAGAACAGTGTCAACTACACCATGCTCCTAAACTCCTAAAAGCACCCTCCGCTGCTGGGCCTCAGTGCCACATATTGTAACATTATGGCTCTCATTTTGGGATTTTATAAAATAGAAGCAAGGCTCACATATTATCTCCCTCTCTTTGGGATTTTTAATGAGCTTATCATGTAAAAAGTTATTGCTTGCCAGTATATTGGAGAGTCATGAAGGCATCCGTTTGGAGAATGGGATGCTTTCTACTGTGATTCTGGTACTGAGGATGGACTTTGGGCTAATCTAAGTGTCCAGATGTCAGATCTCTTTGTTCTTACGAGAGGATGGTGGTTACATCCCTCCTTATATGTCTTGTACCTTGTAGAAAACTTCATTATAGACTTACTCTACTGTATTCTAATTACTTGTTTGCACATCATTCTGTCCCATTATGTGATGCACTTCTCAAGGTTAAAGAAAATAACTTATTTAGCTTTTTAATCTCTGGTTCCTGGTACAAATTGGACAACTACTAAATGCTTATTGATTTAATTAACTCAATGGTCTTAGGACTGATCCTACCACAATTCTGGAGCTCTCTATTAGAGATTTTTTTTCTTCTTCCAATGTGGTTAAAGGAAACCTTCCAGAAATCTTGATGTTACAAAAAATGGATTCTAGTTTTTCTTCTACATCTGCCTTTCACACAGATTATTGGCTTGTAAAAGTCAACATGATCCCCTGGAGTACCACCACTCCATGCTGTCTCTGGGCCATTCTGAATCAAGACACAATCAGTATGCCCATGGCATCCTGATAGAAAGCTCCTAGGACCCAGCTCTCCTACTTTGCCATATATTTATTGTCACCTATCACCTTTCACGAGGTCACCTTTTTCAATCTCTTAATATTTCCCAAAAGTGGTTGTTTGGAAAATAATAGATTAACCAAGGGGATAGCATTTAGAAGATAAAGCAGTAGCTACTATAACTAAGGAACTATGGTGGTTTTACACAAGTATACCAGCACACACAAATTGATTCATGGAAGATTATTATTATTTCCATTTTTTATCTAATTGAAGTTGACAAAACTTGAGGAAATCCTATGCTAAAGTCTCTCTGTATCACATATCACATATTGGAACAAGGAGCTTCTATCTGGTTGAAAGACCATTCTCAAAGAGACTTAATGAGCTTGCCTGAAATCAGCTGAAAGAAGGTCTCTGCTAGCTGTTCACTGAGTTCCATGCTGTTGACATTGCCTTCAATGTTTCAGGGAAGATGGAGGACAGATGTCAGACTGTATATTGGTCACTCACTCTGGTGATGCAAATGGCTGGGTGAGAATGCTACCTCTCCTGTGTGTGAGAAACGTGATCTCAGCCAGGTTCAAGTCCCTAAGCTTCCTTTCCTTTCTAGGATAAGGATGATAACAGTACCTTGTTTCATCCACCCAAGATATCCTATATGCCAAATATGTTACAAACACTGTCTTATCCGATGCTTACATCAGCTACATGGGTTGAGGCTATTATTTTCATTTTGAAAATTGAAAATAAATAAATGAATAAATCAGAGGCACACGTGATGCTTTCTCTAGTAGGTGACAAAGCTAGGCTTAGACCTCTGCTCTGCAAGGGTGGATAAAACATTGCATGCATCACCATTTGACAGGAGCTCTGCTAAATTGAGTTTTGCAAGCTGCACTAATAAACCTTGTTTGACATGACATTGCCCAGGCGAGCATATTATGGGTGTTCAAGGAATTAATAAGTTCCAGTCAGGAGATATGTTATAAATTAATAAATAATAGATCATAATTATAGATACCCAATAATGCTGCCATGGAATTGCAACAGAGAGATTGGGGGAAAGACTGTGGGAAAGCACAGGCCAGGGGAGACAGGTGAGTGTTCCAGTAGGGTTGCAGAGGAAAAATCAAAGTCAATATTTTTATTTTACATCTCTTACAAAGTCTTGAGAAAGCTGGAGACCTCACTCTGCCAGAGGCAGGGCTGTCAACTATATAGACTGTGACCCTCCACAGTGGCTAAATGGAACACAACTGTTAATCACAAATGTTGGTGTGCATTTGAAGCAACTGGAACTTTCACATCCTTACCCTAGAAATAGAAATTAGTATGATCACCATGAAAAACCTGTTGAGCAGTATGCATTGCCGTATCTAATGTAAAGTCTACACATACCCTATCACCCCCTGGTTCCACCCTTAAGAATATGCCTAGCAGAAATGTGTATGTATGTGCCTCAAATAATACTAAAAAGAACACTAACAGTAGGCACTCATTGTATTGCCAAGGAACTAGAAAAAAAAAAACACAAATATCCATCAACAAAAAAATAGATAAATAAATTAGGAGATAATCCTATGATGGAATATCATTAATGAGGAAAATGAGGAAACACAGCTACCATGCAGTACACCATAGATAAATCTCACAATATAATACTGAATTATGGAATCTAGTCACAAAAGAATGTGTGTATACATATATATATAAAATTTCTTTTTTACATATATAATATATATTATATATGTATATATTTTTAAACAAATCTTAATAATTAGTAAAAACTGATGTTTGGGAAGAAAGAAAGGATGGGAATACCTTTGGGAGCTGGGGACTTTGGGGACGCTGATGACAATTGACCTCTAGATCTCAGTGGTTGCATGAACATGTTTATTAACGCTTCATCAAGTTGCACATTTTTTCCTCTATGTTGTACTTTTATTAAACATAAAGCTCATTGCTTAAAGTCATAAGATAGGGAACCCAGTTGAATCTCCTGGGTTCAAATCCTCACTCTACCACTCAATACAATGCATGAACTTTTCTATGCCTGTGTTTCCCCTGGAGGTTTGTGGAGATAAAAGATTATTTAAATCCTACAAGAGAGAGGTGAAGGTCAAATGACATGATACAGGTAAAGTCCTGAATCTGGAACATACCCAACTCAAGAGACATTAGTTATTGTGCTTGTCAAGGTGTGTATGGTATCTAGCAGCATAGTGAATGTTTTATTCTCTTTTTCTTTTTCATTTTTTTTCTCTTCCCTTTGATGAAAGGCTGCACTCAGTCAATGATGCATTTTCAAATCAACAGTATCTTGGTGTTGAGGGCTTGCACTAATCCCTGTGCACACCCACACATATACACACATACATAGTATGCCAGGTCTGTGGCTTTAAGTGTATTGAATATGTTTATGGAATGAATGAAGAGACACATAGAGGGCAGACATAGAGTTCTTTGAGAGGTTGGAAAAGTTTCTGGGCAAAGGAATTAGGTGATGATTCTCAGGAGAGAGAACATTGGAAATGAATCATGAATTGCACCTGCGATCTGACTGTGTAGAGTCTAAGGTGGGAGAGGAAGGGCCAAAGAAGACAACTCTTCTCTGATGGCTCCTCTTCTCCAGCCTTCAGCAGGAAGCTGCTGGGAATGAGGATTTTTTTTTTTGTTGGAGACACTAATGATGCCCGCTATAGCTGCGGAGGAGCAAACCCTAGCTAAATTTCATACAGATTCCTTTCAATTCTGAAAAACTCTATCTGAGCCCCTCCTGTGTGCCAGGCACTGAGCCAGGACCATAGGAGTACAGAGATGAATAAGGCCCTCCCCTGCCTTCAGGAGTCTCGAGGCTTAGCAAGGAGCATGGAACAAGAGACTGACTTGAGAGATGAGATAATAGTCACTCATGGAGAGAGCAGCACAGCAAAGAACACTTACGGCTCCACGCCATGCCTTCTTCACCATTTCACCTGAAGCTGGTTCTTGTAAGAGAAATGTGAGAATAGCTATTATAGTTAGAATAATAACCATCCACAAAGCCCAGCTTTTGGAGCTTCTCAATGATTTTTCTATGATCTCAAATCAATGAAAATGAAATGGTAAAATGCTGTTAATTCCGGAAATGTTAAAAGAATATTGGAATATCAGATGCAAGCCAGCATTGCTCAGTTGGCGATAGTTTGCACATTGAATTAGTTCTAAATAGAATTAAGAATGTCTCCTTATTCTTTTGGCCTTTCCAGTCTAAGCATTGAGAATTTATTGAACACCTATTATATGGCAGACTAAGTACTGGAGATCTAGAAGAAAAACAAGACAAGGATCTTATTTTTATTAAATGAAACAAAATCACAAATAAGAAGATGTATCTTGTGACAGTTGAAGAGAATGGAGGGAGATTTCAAGGCAGAGGGAAGACACAAAGGTACAGGTGATCAGACTCACTTGGAGAAGGAAGTACTCACAGAGAAGAGAATACTTGGGTGAAATTTTCAAAGCCTACAGGAAGTTAGGAGGTTATTGCTTCTCAAAGTGTGATCCCAGGACCAGCAGCATCAGCATGATATAGAAACATGTTAGAAATGCAAATTGACAGACTCCATCTATGGTACATGGATAAGGACCCCCCAAAGGTATTAGATTATAAACCCTAGAACTTGTAAATGTCACAATATTAGGGGAAAAAAAAGAGAACTCTTTGCAGATCTTATTACTAAGATTCTTAGTAATAAGAATCTTAAAATAGGTTGATTATCCTGAATTATCTGGATGGGCCCAAAATACCATATCATAGCAAGTGCCCTATTAATAGAGCACACAGAGAAGTCAAGATGGAGTGAGAGCTTGGAGCCACACAACCACAACCAAAGAAGGGTAGCCACCATGGGAAGCTGGCAGAGGAAAATTCAGAGACTCCCCAGGGCTGCTAGAGAGAGTATGGTCTTCATTTTGCCCAGTAATACTGATTGGGGACTTACTGTTGTTTTTAGGGTCACTTCCATTTGTGGTGATTTGTTACAGCAACCACATGAGACTAATACACCCACTGAATCGGGTATTTCAGAGTTTAGCCCA